GACTTCATACCTCGTAATGACAGGATCCCACGTTCTGTTGGGTCCCCATCGGGGAAGTTTGCCCCGCCCCTTTAGACCAGTTCGACCAATTGGATTGCGAGGAAGGCCGGCGTCAATGACGTAGGGCGTGTCCATTAGACTACTTCTGTCATCGCTGTTGAAGGAAATCTTCCCTTCCCTCTCCTCCTCTGGTATATTTTCCCTGGAAGAGAAGCAACATGTTGCTCTCATAGAATTATAAAGTTCTATTTGCCCAGTACTGAGATTTGATACATTGTTAGTTTTAGTTTTAGTAAGGTTTTTACGGCGCTCGCAAACAGAGGTTCATACGAGAGTAAAAAACATACAAGAGAAGTAGAGGAAAATGATGATAATACGGATGAGGAAAGAAAAAGCAGCAGTTCCCCTTATGTTGTTGCGGCACAGTATGAGCATGACATTAGTAAGTGAGCCCATTTACGATTCTACTGTGCATACGATTATTTATATCCCCCCTTTGGGAAATAGCCTAAAGACACTTCAGTCAGTGGCATTGCCCTGGTAGCGAGGGGGGGGGGGGGAGAAATTGGATGTAAATTCTTTTTAGTTTCACAACGTGTCAAGCTTTTTGTAATGCAATTTGAATATCTTGATAACGACTCCTAATTATCTCACGATTTTGAGAGAGCAGAACAAAATTTGTTTCTGACCTTATGGTCTTGGTAACTCAAAACGGCCAAAATAAATGTCAGACAGAACTTTGTATTTCTAAGGTAGCTCGTCAGTTTAGGGGAATATAGAGCTATTGGTATAACCTTAAAGGTGAATACTATATCTGACAGCTAGATGGGACATAACGTGCTATATCTGACAAGTTTGTATTTTGGCATAATATATCATATCTGACAGGTTTATATGACATAACGTGCTATATCTGACAGCTAGATGGGACATAACGTGCTATATCTGACAGGTAGATGGGACATAACGTGCTATATCTGACAGGTAGATGGAACATAACGTGCTATATCTGACAGGTAGATGGAACATAACGTGCTATATCTGACAGGTTTATATGACATAACGTGCTATATTTGACAGGTAGATGGGACATAACGTGCTATATCTGACAGGTAGATGGGACATAACGTGCTATATCTGACAGGTAGATTGAACATAACGTGCTATATCTGACAGGTAGATGGAACATAACGTGCTATATCTGACAGGTAGATGGGACATAACGTGCTATATCTGACAGATACATGGGACATAACGTGCTATATATGACAGGAACTAACAGATCGATCTCTCCGCCATTCTCCAGAATTTCCGGCGCTGTGAACGACGGGGGGCAGTAGTCATCAAAACTGATCTGTGGAAAAAGTGGTGAAATGGTATAATTTAAAAAAGTTTTAGTAAGAGTTTTTCGGCACTTGCAACACAATAAGGTCATATTGTTGTTGTTTTCAAACACCTCTAGCTGCGATCATTTCGCTCTTGGCAGCGCAATGCCCCCTCAAGTAACCACATGTCCTTGTCATCTGGTCAACGCCAGAGTAGAGCACGCTTTGTAAGTCTGTAGGTATGTGTAGGAGCTTGCGTCGAAGAACTACCAGGTTTGGGCATTGAAGGAGAAGATGTTCAGCGGTCTCCTCGTGGTAGTCACAGTGTCTGCAATTGGGTTGATTCTGTTTATGTGCTTGTTGGTGTGTAAGTGTCCTGTGCGGGCTCTGAAGATCAATGTCTGATCGGCTCTAAATAAAAGATTTGAAGGATCTTTGGGGTTGGGTTAGTCCATACACCCGAAGAGAGATCTTCCTGTTTCTGCGTTGGTCCATCTGTTTAGCCACTCGTCTCTGCTTTTGGCTTGGATGATCCCTCTGCAGGTTTCTAAAGAGGCGGCTGTGTCTGTCTGGGGCAGGCTCGCTCCAGTCTTTGATAGATGGTCTGCAGTCTCATTCCCTGGTACTCCAGAATGGCCAGGCACCCACTGCAGTGTGACCTGGATGCCATAGGAAGGGCCCAGCTGTTTTACAAGGCTGAGAAGGTTCCCGTCACCTCTGTAGTCTCCTCCTCACTCGACGGCTTGGAGTACTGACATTGAGTCAGAGAAGACAACATCCCCTGGTGTTACTGCGCCTTCAAAAAAGTCTTGGGTGATCTGCTCCAGGGTCTTTACTATGGCGATTCTCTCTGCGTCATAGTTAGAGCTGTATGTTCCGTATGGGCCAAATAGTTGGGTCTGCTTCTTCTCTCCAAAGTTATTTCGATATTTGATGGTCGATCCGTGTCCAGCATTCCGTGTAGCGTTTGTTGCTGACCCGTCTGTGTATGCATGAATTGGAGTTTCAGCATACGAGTCCACTGTCTCCAGGGCACTAGTTCTGAGGATTTCTTCTGGTGTGGTCTTGTCACAAGAAGGGTCTAGAAGTCTCGTCCTTACTGTGATTTCTGGTGTCTGCCAATATGGATGTTCGCTGCTGATGTTGGTGATTGGTTCTCTGTTCTCGGGTGGGTCGAACTCCTCAAGTAGTTTTGTTGCTTCTCGCATTAAGGAGGTCTTCTGGATGCGTGTTCTTGGTTTCCACTCATCTGTCATTTCCCTGTTTTCGTTCGCAATAAGGTCATATAAGTGCCGAAGGTTAGAAGTGTTACAAGAGAGTAACAAACATAAAAAAGAAGTAGGGGAGATAGAGACGATAGATTTTTCATAGGAAAGAAGGAGCAAACCCATATCAACACTATTAGGTTATTTAAGAGGAAAGACCTCCGAGTTAAACGTCCGTCCCCAAAGGAACTATCAGATACTCTGAGGTGTGTCTATCTCAACTAGGATTGGCCCTCACAAACGGACAGGGACAGAGGCCTGCTTTCTAAATGATTTAAATAGTATTGATGGGGGCGTGAAAACACCTCACTTAGAAAAAAAATGAAAGGGACGCTCAAGCTGTCATTCAAATGACGGCACGAAAGGACAACAGACAACAGACAATTGACGATCTGGGTAGGCAAGAAGAAGAAGAAGAAGAAGAAGAAGAAGAAGAAGAAGAAGAAGAAGAAGAAGAAGAAGAAGAAGAAGAAGAAGAAGAAGAAGAAGAAGAAGAAGAAGAAGAAGAAGAAGGAGAAAGAGAAGAAGAAGGAGAAGGAGAAGAAGAAGGAGAAGGAGAAGAAGAAGAAGAAGAAGAAGAAAAACAACAACAACAAGAAGAATTTTCTGCGAAACGGAAGAAGAATAGGAACAACAGAAATAACAACAACAACAACAACAACAACAACAACAACAACAACAACAACAACAACAACAATAACAACAGCAACAAAGACAAGAACAAAAATTAGAATGTTCAGAAAAACGGAACGAGGAAAAGAGGAAGACCAAAGTTGCCCACTTACGTCCCAGGCGACCATGTTGTCAGGCACGGGGAATCTGTCCACATCGGAGAGGAAGTAGGGCGACATTCGGGACTGAAGGTTGAGCTTGATAAAGCGGCACTGGTCCTCTGTTTCTGTGTCTTCTGGTGGGGATGATGATGAGGATGATGGTGATGATGATGAGGAGGAGGAGGACGAAAAGGAGGAGGAGGAGAAGGAGTGGAAGGAGGAGGAAGATATACTGATACTTTCTATTTGCCTCTTCTGGACACACAAATCATGATGATTATGATGGTGATGATAATGAGGACAAGGAGGAGGAGGAATAGCTGGAAGAGGAAGAGGAGGAGGAGGAAGAGGAGGAGGAGGGTTTGGTGCGGGGCTAGCATTTCCACAATTATGTTCCTGCCGATTCACAGACTTGGCAGCCGTTGTCAAGCTTAACACAGACACGAGCGAAGGACGTGTTTAGAGCCACTGCCCTACTCCTTTTTTTTGTTTTTGTGTGGGGGGGGGGGGGGGGCAAGTTCTTTACGGCCCCCGCAACTGCTTTAGGTCATGTGAGCGCACGGGACACATTAAACATTTTCAGTTGGTAAGAAATTTTGAATTTGCCGGGGTAGCGGCCGAAACATATTCTTATCGATTTTAGACCACCAAGGGATCTTTAATTTGTGCAACTTGCACACGGGACCTCCGAGATTTTTCACTCTTGTCCGAGAAGGCTAGGTGTAGATCTTTCCTACCAGAAGATCAGGGATGTGGCTGAAAGACAGCAGTAAGAAGGGGCCAAGGTGTAGCAGTAGAAAGGCTGCAGAAAGTGTCAGGAGCCCGAAGGAGGGAGCAAAGGAGGTGACGGGCTGGGGACAGAAAGTGGAGACGAAAGCAGATGACAGAACATTTGCTAGAGAGCAAAAAGGTATGTGAAAGGAGACAATTGTAGAGAAGAACATTTTTCTGTCGCTACACGGATTCGAACTCGGGAACTCTGAATGAGAGGCGAACACCTTAACCTTTAGGCCACGAGAGCCCCCCTCCCCCACCCCCACCGTCCAACTCCGGCTGAGGCAAAAGTTCTAGAGCGTGTGAGGCGTTGTGGATGGTTGGCGGGTGCTCTGGTGTGGTTTTCTCCTTCTTTCCTATTCAAACATCAGCTATTTTCCGTATCTCTCCTCTTTCTATTTCTGTGTTCGTTACCCTTGTGTAACGCCTCTAATCTTTGGCACTTGTATGACCTTATTGTGTTGCAAATGCCATAAAACTCTTACTAAAACTAAAGTTTAAGATTTTTTGGCACGTCCTCACACGACGGTCTTTGGCATGAGTAATAAAATCGAGTTCTTTTGTTTTTTAAGGGAGGGGGTTAAAGATTATTCCCAGGGAGCTATTCTGATCCTAGACAGGAATCCTGTCCCTGTATACAGTCACATCAGCTTGCAGGACAAGTCTACGGAATCGACATACTCTAAGGTATCGAATAAACGTCTCCCACCCCCACGCCCACCCCGCTTATCAATTTTCAGTTGGGTTTTTTTGCGCACCACCCCCCTCCCCCCTTCCGCTCCTTATTCCATACCCCCCGTTTATTATTTTCCAGCTTGCCACCACCGATGATCATGTGAATCATTTATTTTATCTAGAATCTAGATATCTGAATGAAATTACTTTTTTTCTGTAAATGGCAAGTCACCTTCAGTATTAGTACCGGTAACGAGTTGGCTTCCTCACTTTTCTGTGCATTTTAAAAACTTTTGTACATTGGTTTAGGTTTTTTAAAATGAAACAGGTTCCTAAATGGGGAAAAGTTGTCTTAGTAACTAACTAAAATCACTAAAATTTCATGATCTCTTGTTCTTTTGTTCACTAAAGGAGAAATAAAACAGATTTGTTCCTACTAGTACAGGGGTATGAGGTCGAATGTGTCATCCCCCTCTCCCCATTAATTTTGGACCACACTCTCTCCCTTTTATTCCTACCCTCCCCCCCCCC